GGTGCTGCTCCTCTGCTTCACTTCAGTCTCCTAGGAAACAGGTACCACGCTGCAGTGCCGGATGCTGCCCGGAATAACGGGGCTAAAAACGAAACCCACTGGGAAAAGCTCATCCTGACATTATCCGTGCCTCTGTTAGGTTTAACAAGGGATCTGAATTAATGGGTATCTTGGTAAAAAAACCAAAACAAACCTACCCTGCAGCAGCCACTCGCTCCCCAGGGTGCAGCTCTGCTCCCCGGGATGGCAGGAGCAGCAGCAGAACGCAGAGCCTGCCGTGCCATAGGAACACAGATGGGTACAGCTCTCCCCAGCTCCCCCAGAACAGGGCTACCCTCCCACCCCAGTTCCTCCCAGCTCTCCCCTGCCCTCCCTGCACATCTTTACTCCCATCCTTTCCTAATCTGAGTGCCAAGAAGAGGGACCTCCAGACAGATGCCAGAGGCTTCCAGGGGAGCTGAGGTGCAGCTGCTCCCAGGTGATGCCAGTGCAGGACAGACAGACAGACACCCAGCTTCCCCCCAGCGCCCCCCAAGGTCTCACATCTCACTGAGTGACACCCTGAGAAACACCCTGGGAGCTTGCTCAGCCCTTGGGGTCCTGCAGAGTGGAAGGGGGAACCCGGGGACCCTGCACTGCCCTGGCACCCTCCAGCAGACAGAGCTTCTTCACCTTTGGGGAAAACAGGTTGTTCCTGTCACCTTGTGAACATGCATCTCCTTTCCTTCTGCCCAGGACCCTTTAAGTGCAGTATCTTTTAACTGCTGATCCTGCAGATGAGTTTGCTCCATGGCAAACTATGCCATCATTCACTTCCCACCCCATCCCCATTCTGTTGTGGCCAGGCTGGTGTGAACTCCAGGCCAGCAGATTGCCTCTGTCTGTGGGACATGTCTGGAGCTGCAGCAGCTCCACAGCCCTTCACTTCTCACCCCCCTTTCCTCTCCCTCCCACCCCCAAAGGCTTCTATTGGCAATGAAACATCTCTGATAGAAAATGCACCAGGAATTTCTGGTCTCTGGAACAGTGCAGCAGTCACGCCTCTGCTTTCTGCCCAGCTCTTTCCATCCCTTCCTGTGCAAGCAGCATGGAAACACGCTCGGCAGATCAGCAGGGCTGGGAATCCTCCTCCTTAACCAGCAGCTCAGGAACATCACCAGCTGTGCCAGGGCACTGCCAGGCACCCAGTGTCCCAGCCCTGTTGTCTGGGCTGCGGGATGTGGGAAAGCAGGACCTGGCACCACGCTGGGTCAGGGCTCCCAGACCCTGCCCAGGGCTCTCTGGAAAAGCAGCACTTGGCAGAGCTTTGAGGATGGTCAGATTTTAAAACAAGGGGTAGCAGAGCCCAGGCAGGGCTGGGGACACCCTGCCTCCCACGGCATCAGGCCATCATGGCACCTCAAAAGCATCTTGTCAGATGGCTTCTGGCTCCTCTAACTGAAACCCAGGACCTCCTCAAGGTTTCGAAGTTTTGTCTCTGCCAGCAGCAGGTCCAGACAATGTGAAGCCAGAAGCTCCCCCCAGCCTGTCCACACGATACTCAGAGGGTGCAGTGTGCTCAAAAGGTGGGAGTTATTTTATATTTGAATAACAAAACTCGCAACACCTTTTATCTCCACCTTCTCTAATCCTTCTCTGATAGCACAGCAACAGCCCAGGAGCACCTCCATTGCTGGGGCTGGAGTTGCAGCAGCAGGACAGACCCTCAGGCGGGAGCAGCCGCTCCCCAGCACCGCACCGAGAGGAGCAGGATGAGCCTCTGCCTCCAACATCACCCCCACCAAGCCCCCCGGGGCTGCCCCTGCCCCAGACACAGCATGAACCACTGAGTTTGCATCTTCTCACACCTGTTTTGGTTCATTTTGCTGGTTTGATGACCTTTTAAACTCTCCGTCACAGAGGCACATTTTCCAGCCCTAACAACTTGCCCGGACGCTCTGGATGCTGTGACCACCGTGGCAGACCCACTCCAGTGACAGACAGTGCCCAGCTCAGCCAGAGGGGCCACATGAGAGCAGGGGACCAAGATGGAAACCACCCGCAGCAACACTGCCCACATGGAAGTGGTGCCCACCACCTTCCCCTGCACAAAGCAGTTTCATTGAGCCACCATGGGAGCTTTTCAGCTGCTGCTCACCAAGGACCCACTTGCCCTCCACCCCCCCCATGGCCCATAGTTACATGTTCACAAGGCTGATGGTTATTGCAGCTGACATAAAGGGCAAGGGAGGGGAATTTTCCTGCTCTGGCTGGATGAGTTGAAACATCCACAGCCAGCAACTGTGGCAGCTTTTCACTTCCCTGACCTACATAGCGCGGGCGCTCAGGGAAGACGGGACCTGGGACTGGAATGGAGGAGCTGGGTGGCCTTGCAGGCATCCCCAGGTCGTAGGCAGAGCCTGCGTGGTCCAGGCAATGCCTGTGTGGTCACATGGGATGCCTGCACCGTGGCATCACACTTAAAATGCAAGAAATCAGTAGTTTCATTTGCAAATCGAGGAGTCGTTCAGGTTTTGGTTCACAAATTGTGATGTATGTGGGAAAAGTAAATAAATAATCAGATGTCCCAGAAAGACCTGGGGATTTCTGTGCTGCTGGATGAGCTGGGTGTTGTGGAAAGCCTGGCTAAAAGTACAGGGTCTAAAGTTTAAATTTAAAGTTTATAAAAACCCAACAGGCTGGTTGTGATGGCAAAGACCCAAGTGAGCAAGCCCAGGTGATGAGAAGATGCTGAAGAGCTTGAGCCAAGACATTTCTTAATCAAAGTGGTTCCTATAGTTAAACTGTATTGAAAAATATTCTTTTGAACTCTTTAATAGATTTTTCTTTTTCACATTTTTTTTGTTTGCTTTACAGGTGAAATTGCTTCTGACCTTTTTGCTTTATCAGAAACCAGCCTCTACTGACTCCCAGCCTTTGGAAACCACAATATTCCAACACTTGTTTTCCTTCTTTAGCTCAGAGTTCAAATATACAAACCCACTTTTTTCTTGACCATCCAACAGCTGCCAGCACCTCCAGCAGGATTTCCCCTGCCCCAGGGAACCTGGCTGCAGAGTTTGGATGCTGAAGCTCAAGTACCTGAGACATGGATGCTAAAGTTAACTCCAGATCTGGAAAACCCCTGGAAGGTGATTGACATGGGCTTGGGACAGGCAGGTATTGATGGCTGAGCACGCCATGTCCTAAAGTACCCAGACCTTGTCCCCAGCCTCGGGACACACACTTTGCTTCCATGGTGACATTCCAGGGGCAGGGATCAGTTATGCGGGATCTCAGCCTTTTGGAAAACTCATCATAGCCATTAAAACCCAGCAGCCTGGACCACCAGTGTGGACAGTGTCTTCATCATACACACCTCACTTGGTTCACAAGTGTATCAACCACTAGTTTGCCCAGTTGGTATCACCAGCAGAGCCAGCCCTTGGTGACAGTGATGAGCACAACCTTGGCCACAGCTCCCAGCTGCAACCTACCTAGCAACCCTGCCAGCTCGTGTCTCCTGTGCTGGTGGGGAACAGCCCATGCCACAACTTCAGCTCCTCGGTTCACACAACACCTCTGAAGGCCGCCCTGTCCCAGCACTGCCTTATCTGGATTTATATGACAAGTTTGGGGAATACTCTTCCAGCCCGTGGCAAGGCCAGGGCAGGCAGGGCAGGGTGTCCTGTGCTCCATTGCCACCCCACACGGGTCACCCCGCATCGTCCTGTCCTTTGAACAAGCACCCTGGGAATCACCAGAAGGATGGCAAGCGGGCAGCAGCGTGCCCAGAATCACATCCTGACATGCCAGTGGAAACCACTTCCACGAGCCTTCTCCCACCCCACTGGGAAACCACAGCCATGTGTGCCCACCCATGGAACCCCGGCCTCAGCTTTGCACTGTGGGACAAAATGCGACCCGGAGTCTCCCCTGATATCATGGACAATAAATGTGACACCCATCCCTGGCAAATGCTTCAGAGACAGGGAAACAAAGCTCCAGCTCTGGGCTGTGCCTTCACAAGAGCTTTGTGGGGAAAAAGACTCCCAGCTCGAGAGAGCTCCCGAGCTTCAAGTCAAGGGCTCGGCGCGGCGCTGCCTCTTGCCTCTGCATCACCCTGGCTCTCCTCGGAGCCCCAGAGGGCTGCTGGCCAAGAATAACTCCTGGCCCCAGGGCTCTGCTCTGCAAATCCAGCTCAAGGCCGGATCCACAGAGCCGATCCAGCCGGGATTCCCGCTGCCCAGCTCTGTGATGGGATGATCTCACCCTGTGCCGGGGCCTTCCTGCTCCTGAGCACACGGTGGGGATGGATCAGCTCCAGACCCCCATGCATGGTGGATGCCTCTGCTGGGATCTGCCACCAGATGTGCCCCATCATGGCCATTCCCACCTGGAGAACTGTGTCCTGCCCACTCTCTCTGCAGCACAGCAGGGACCTGGCCCCAGGTAGCCTCCCATGGCCCTTTCCACCAAGGGAAGGGAGACGTGACCACGTGAGCACATCCTGAAGCACATCCCAGCATCCTCAC